AAAATTCTTCAAAAACTTCTACCACTGAAAAATACAACAAAAAAAAAAAAAAAAAATACATTTCAAGAAAAGTAAACTAATTTGAGAAAATGTTCAACTTTTCCCTACTGGATTCTAAAGAAGAAAAGGCGCATGCTTTAATGATGTTCATTATTAAGATTTAGCCTTTCTCATTTGTGTGGATCATAAAGTTATAAAATCTCGTTTGTGGTATAAAAGATTAAAATTTTTAGAATTTTTTTTTTGAGAGATTTTCGCTATAGGGCGTGTGCGCTCGCCAGACAGAAAGAGACATAAAGACAGAAAGCGAGAAATCACCCCCAGGGGGGATGGTCACTCCACAATCCCTTCTCCTCCATTCTCCTCCTGGGATCTTGGGCACGCATGCACACGCGCCCAGCGTGGGTTTTAAGCCACCAGGTCCGGGACGCGAACTGCGGTTGACTATTTGGGAGTCCAGCGACATAGACATTACGCTAACTGCTGGTTCCCAAAATTTTTAGAATTTTTGATTAAAGTATATTTCAGTTGTATTAGACAGCATTTTTATAGAAAATAAATAATAATCAAAAAGATTTTTAGGTAAAAAAAATATTCTCTCCTAGGCAAGCCACAGTGACATGGCAGTAATTCAATGCTCTGCGATAATGAAGCCACATGGGAAGATCCCAAGTTCATATCCTGCAGTCTCCTAGTGTACTCCAGGCACACACGTGTGTCTGTGATCCTGGCTGTCTGGGTATAGGGATGAATCATGGCGTGAAGACACTATTAGAATAATCTTTTTCTCTCTGCCTCTCTCTCTCTGTTTCTCTCTAAATAAATAAATAAATAAACTTCAATGAAATGCTCTCCTTAAACAAAAAGGTCTTTTTCACCCAGCGGAATTCACCACTCGGATTAGCAAATACTTCTGTGAATTTATTATTACTTGAGAAGTCTACTCAATTTAGTCTGTGAATTGTGAATTCAGTCAGTAGGATAGGGAGAAAAAGACCTGTCAGCCTTTTCGTGCTTTCCTCTCCTCTATGATTTGTAATCCGAACAAGGACCAAATATTTTGTTTAAAGAAACTTGTTAAGTACTCTATCCTCCTGTTGTTAGAAGGAGATATTAGTAACTCGAATCTTTTAGACTTTAAGTTTGTAAGATTTTTCCCTTCTGGAATGTCAAATTAATGAGGTTGTGCTATAAAGAACTTGCTGCGAGACAGGTGATAATTATTTCAGACTTAGAAATTTCCTGGCCAGCGTTTCAAGTCAGATGGAGAGGAAGTGCAAATGAACTGCCTGTAGCTACAGTCACCGGTCTCTGGGTTCAATGTTCAGCAGCTTTCAAGATGGTGGATAAATTGCCTTTTTTGGGTTTTGTGTTATTTGATATACCTGTGTTCCAACAACAAGAAACTTGAACTGAACTACCTACTTAAAATAACACTTCTATGGAAAACTGCTCTAATTTTTGTCATCTTTTCCAAATGCCAGATGAGTGGATATTTCCTGAAAATGATGATCACACTCCCCATTTGGCATCCAGCAGACAGTCCCTACTTTTGGATGATGACTCCTGGGACATGTCACACCTGTGGCCGGCTGCCAACCAGGACAGTGGACGTGACCAACAAGCAGAGACTGCCCAAATTGTTCCAAAGGATATTTTCACTTTTTCATCAAGACCACGATCAGCACCCCATGGAAAAACTCAGAGTATGTCCCCAGAGGGGTGCCCATTTATTTTGGATCTAAAAGAGGATAACAGTGTGACAAGGAGAGACACCCAATTGGAGGATGATTTTTATGGCACTGACAGCAGCAAAGAGGTACACTGCTTGATGAGTGAAGTTGTCTTAAAGCACAGTTGTTCCATTAGCTCTGATAGCACTAAAATTAGTTGAGATGAAAGAGGAGAATTCAACTACTATTTATAAAAATGCAGCAGATTGCCATGTCAGTCAACAGTTGCATCAGGTTGTTATGGTAACTCTAAATTGCTGCCTTTTTTTTTTTTTATTAACAGTTGGCCAATTTCACTTTTAATTACGAAAAACAGTTTTAGGTTTGTTTTGGTATTTTTTTATTTTAATCTTTGTCTCTCAGAATGAGAAATAATGTGGAGTGTACGTGATTGCAAGACCAGCAAAACATTGAGAACACATTGTTCTAGACCTCTGGGGAAATTGAGTTGCAGTTGCTAAGCATTCTGAATCGACAGTTTTCTGGCTTCTTTACTCCCCTGCCAGTTTTTCACCTTAGACCTAATAGGACTCATTATTTTCCATATGGTCCCAGAATTTCAAGAGTTGTGCCAATTGAAGTTTAGATAACGAATCATGGATTAGTGCTAGGGCTTGCCTTACAGGAGCTTTTGTGTTTGGAATTATTTAGAATACAAACAAATCTTATAAATCAGTGAATTCATCAAAACTTTTTAAAAAGTGTTAAAAATGAAACTGAATGTAAATAAGAAGTATTTATTCAAAACCTAATACATTGTGATAGCATTTTCCCCATATGAGATAGATTTATGTGTGTAATTTTTATAAATTTATTCATAATGGCCATTTATAATTTCTGGAGAAAAATATCTTAAAAGCAGAATACAATCCAGTCAAGATTTAGTGAAAATATAAAAATTATTTCTATATAGAAATTATAGAAATAATTAGAAAAGCTTTCTTACAAAACATTTGTAATGACTATAAATAATTATCAGTCCCTTTTTAGACAGTGGGATATATTTTAACCCTTAGAACCAGTTGAGAATATGGTAGATTGTTTGGGTAGTAATTATGGAGTTTTTGTGGCTTTTAATGAGTATCTTTGGCAAACTACATGAAAGATTCTCTTTTTTTACACTGTCTATTTTAATTTTTCCAGAGTGTACATGTGCTTGCCAGGGAGAGAGAGGGAGAAGCATCCCCTGCCCCCTAAGGGGGCAGTCCCTCTTTTTTTCTCTCTCCCTCCTTTCGGGATTTTGGGCACACATGCATATGTACTTGGCATGTTTTTCAAGCTGCCAGGTTCAAGACTTGAGCTGTGTGGTCGGCCATGTGGGATCCAGTTCCCATAACCACCAGGCCGCTGACTGGCCATCTGATATCCTTGCTTCTGAGTATTATGAAACAGTTAGTCATAGCAAACATAAACTCACTACAGAACTCTGTGCATAAATAGTACATTTGATGCCAGCATTTTAAATGTTGTTGTTGGTTACATTTGTCCCTTTCACCATGATAGCATTAGGCTATAGAAACTGTAAAATAAACATTTGTCTTCAGCACCTCATAGCATCCCCACCCAGCTGTCAGCTCTCCTACAGTATAAAACTGACTAATGAGATCACTTAATTCATGTCCTTCCATTATTGGCACAGGCTAACCTCCTTTCCATGTACACAGCATCATCTTTCTTACCTAACCCGAAAGAATTGTCCTAATAGTGGAGGTTTCTTAGCAGATGAGAAATGATAGTTCTCTGGAAACTTGAAGGAGAAGTTTTGTAGGGAAGAGTCCTTTAAATAACACCACTGAAGAACTTACTTCTTCTGTCTACGCAAAACTTTATGAGAAAATGCAGAACACCAGCTCTGAATATTTTCATTGGATATCACTTTATGTTCTTTCTTTGCTACTACCTGTTCTGATTCTGAAGTCCTTCAATATTTATTATGCACACATGTATTTATTACCCACCACATGGACTAGAAAACCAATTTCTCATGCACACCTCAGTGGCATAGCTATCTAGTCACCCCTGTGTTGTGCCCATCAGTGTGACCAGTAGCATATGGCTAGCCTCTGTAATGGGACCATCTCATTAATAACACCTGTCCTGGCCCACCTTTAGTCAGAATCTGCCAGAAGTGGCAGCCAGAAGTCGTGCCGTGTCATCACACTTTGGGATTTGTTGTTAGAAAGCCTAATATAAGATACGAACTAAGATACAAAATTATGACTAGGAGAAATGTTGGGGCTATTTTTAAACAGTTTCCAGAATTTGTAATGATCCCTTCTTTATCAAATAAGTGGTCGTCTTCTCCTCTTCCTCTTTCTTCTCCTTCTTGTTTTTGGTGATTTCTTTTCCTGAAGGATAACTTCTGCCATTTATGAATTATATGTACCATTGGGAATTGAACTGCATATTTGCAGTATTTACTTACAGAGTCTTTGGAGAATAATTAGTTAAGTTCATTGAAGCATCCTTACTATTAGTTTCATTATTTTAGAATGTTTTATCCTTTGGGTAATGTAATCATACTTATGGAAAACATCATGTTACAAAAATTGTGGACAAATGAGTAATAATTATATTGCTTATGCTTGAAGCTTTTAACTTGTAATTAAGACTATTTGAAGTTAGACCACTGAGTACTTTTAAAGGGAAATTAGATGAATTCAGTAGCATATAAACTAGGCAAATCTCATGTTATTATTGTAGAAGGAAAGTACATATACAGTAGGAAAAACTAATTAAAAGAAGCTTTCAGAGATACATTATGTTTGTAATTTAAGTTGCTAATAATTCACGTCTGAGATCTTAGCATGAGAACCTCAGAAGTTTTAATGACTTTGAATTGGGTTGTCAGGAAAGCCATGATGCATTTTTGGCATAGAAATACATAGGAACATACGTCATGACTTTCCCAAAGACCTAATGTATGCTCTTGTCTTAACTCTGCTTTTTACTCCTTAGGCATCCATGTATGTTAACACTAATGTTCCTGGTTCTCAGTTTAATTTATTAATTTTATTTATTTATTTATTTGGAGAGCTTTTCACTATTGGGGCCATGTGCTTCCTGGAAAGACAAAGAGAGAGAGAAAGTGAGAAATCACCACCCAAGGGGAAATGGCCACACCACAATCCCATCTCCTCCATTCTCTTGGCATTTGGGGCACATTTGCACATGTGCCCAGCATGAGTTTCAAACTGCTGGGTCCGGGACTCACATCACAGTCAGCTCTGTGGGAGTCCAGCACCTTAACCACTATACCAACTGCTGGCCCCTCTCAGTTATTTTTGAAGTTGTAATTTCTATTTGAAAAGCACAGTAGAGGGGCCACCTGATGGCATAATAGTTATGTCACTGGACTTCCACATGGCCAACTGCAGTTTGAGTCCTGGACCTAGCATCTTGAAACTCATGCTGGGCATGTATGCGTGCATGTCCAGGATTCCAGGAGGAGAAGGGATTGTGGCATGGCCATCTCTCCTGGGGTTGATTTCTCACTTTCTTCCTCACTGTCTCTCTCTTTCCCCCTCCAGCAAGTGCATGCGCCCTAAGGCAAAAACCTCTAATAAAAAAGGAAAGGAAAGCACAGAACAGAAATCTATGTCGTGGTAAAGACTACCACATAAAGCTAAGTATTTTAGGAAAGTGATTAAAACAGAGTACCTTTCACAGTGTTGCAGCATCTGAATGAAACAAAAGCAGGCTGCTATTATTGACTCTGTCTTGTACTTTATGACATTATTCCCAACATATCTTCTAATGTATATACCGGGTTGACAACTTGAAATAGTTTATATTAATATTTTACTATGCCCTTAATTTAATTTTTCATTTAAAAACTGTCATTTTTTTCCCCTCAAGACTGGGGTTGTATATCACATACTAAAGTGAATATTTGTAAGGCCAGGTAATTGCTCTTTTATAACAATCCAAACTGGACCATTTGGGCCTCCCAAATTATCTACATTTGGACACAGGTAGTATGGATTGACCACCTCTTGTGTTCAGATTAGCCAGAAAACTTCCTTAACTTCTTTCCATCTAACTCTTTGGAAGCCTGTAAAGTCCAAATGTACAGACAGATTAAAAGGAGTGTTTTAGCCCTTCCTCACAGATTTCTGGTGTTGTTTTTCAAGTAATTTTTGCACTCAGTAATTAAGCTATTTCATTTCTATTTCTTTCCTGTTAGTTTATATTTCTGGATTATACTGTGGATTATATTTCTGGATTATATTACACACTCACCCCTGCATACTTGACTCTTGATTTTGAGTTGCTTTCTTTCTCTCTCACACACACACGTACACACTATCAAAAGGCCCTTACTCCCCTTGAGGCAGATGGCATATTTGTGTAGCCTTTAAAAACTTAAACGTCTGTTTATGTGTTAAAAAAATATTGTAGAACTCTATTTTGAATATATTGCTTTGTAATTTTATTCCTGCATATTTTTAATTATAACATATTCTCTAGCCCTACCAGGCAAATTTAGTATTTATTCTGTGTGAGTAATCCTTCTAGGCGGTCCCCTTTTACATGCCTTTATTATTATCTGTTGAAGCTCTTCTTTGAAAAGGTTACAAGCCTCTTGGTCCCTGTGACTTGGCTTTACATTATTGAAAGCAGGCAGAGAAGGTCACAAAATGCTTGTCTGCTTAGAATCTAACATTCTACTGTTTTTGCTAAACGATAAACAACTTGCAGATAAACACTTGGTTGTGAATAGCAGTTTTCCCAAGAAATCTTCAATATTGTCAGTTAAAAGAGCATGAAGTCTGCCTTTCAGAAAACTATTGTTTTGTCTTGAACAATTAGAGGAATCTAATTACATCTAAATTACAATCTAAATACATTATGGAACACTATAATCACCTGCCTTTGTCACCCAGACTTTTGTACTTTTCTATAATATATAAGAAGTAGAAATAGTAAAAGTACTTCTTGGAATGATTATTATAAAGATATTTAAGATACATTTGCAGTGCTGGCAGATGGCGTGGGAGGTTGAGGTGCTGGTCTCCCACATAGTCAACCATGGTTCAAATTCTGGACCAGGTGGCTTGCTTTCTCCCTTTTTCTCTCTTTCTCA